CGGTTTACCGGTCGGCTGTCCAAAACCTGGGAGCGAAATTGCATCTTTTAGTTCAAAACGACCTATCTCGGGGGAAATAAATATTTCAGGAGACGATATAAACTGCGCGGCAGCCAGAAAATGAGTGTTAGTACGTACAAAAAAATGCACATCGCACTGGAAAAAAAAAACACATTGGATCTAGAGTCCAGACTCTTAAAAACATCGACAAGAAAAACTACTCTTGATTCAATCGGATTTTTGCTTAAATCAAGAACCAAACATCTAAATTTGAGCGGATTTCTTTTGACGTAAGCAAAAATCTGATTGAATCAAGAGTATTTTTTCTTGTCAATGTTTTCAAGAGTCTGGACTCTAGATCCAATGTGGTTTTTTTTTCCAGTGAGTTAAACCCGAATTAGGTCCTTTCCGAGCTGCGAGATTCAACTGGAGAGGCATTTCCTTCAAGCGCGTATTCCGCACTCAACTAACCAAATAGATATGGATACGAAGTTGCCCGCCGCTATCCACATGAATCCGAGGAAACTCAAATCATCCGGTTTGTTGCATCGATTAACTTTCGGGCGAAACAAAACGTCGGAACCTTGAATGGTACCCGAGCCCGAAACCCGAATCTACAAGACGATTGGAATGATTCCAGATGGTGCCATTCCAAGATCCAGCGCCGCGACGCCGCGCCAGCGCGAGAGGCGCGTCTCGTCATGACGTCACCGACGCTTCGCGGGGCCAATAATTCTTTTATTCATCCCCCCCCCCCCCCGAGTCGGGCTAATTCCCCCGAATCGCGCGCAGAACTTGAGCCGTTTCCAACAGCGCATTAACTCGCTCCGCGATTCCTTCGAGCTCTAACGATCAAACTTCGGAGCGTCCGTATTCCGTGGCGGCCATCCTCCGAAGACAAAATGACGTAAGTGCCGGTTATCAGTACTTTCGTGCTCCGGAAAAACGCCGTATGAACATTCCAGAGTTGCCACAATTTCCTTGATGAAACATGTAATTTTGACGCAATTTAAGCATAATTGGATTACATTTTGCAATTAAGAACCACTATTTCTGGCCCCTTTTAGCAGCAACATATATGCCATTGGTTTCCCTATGCAGATATGTGCTTTTATGAAAGAGCCAGAGATAGTGGTTCCTTATTGCAAAATGGAATCCAATTTGCCTTTAAATTTTCAGATGTTATTGATAAAATTGCGTAGAAAATTGTGTGAAAATTTGGGGGGAAAAGATTTACAATTTTCCCAGTAAATTCAGTTTTTATCGAAGGAAATTTGGCAACGTCTGAAGGCTAATACGACGTTTTTCCTAGGCACAGCAGAGTATAGCGTGGCGTGATTTGCGATAAATCGGTTCATCTGCCATTTAAACCTATGGGAAAGGATCGGTAATCAGGGTGTTCGCAAAGAACACCTATAAAAATCGATCATTTACTATAGTCTTAAACGGGGAAACATCGATAATCGTATTTTGATGTTCACGCCTCTTCACTGCTGGTTACCCATCAAAAAATACGAATATTTTGATATAAAAATGTTTGTGGCCCTATTGTTAATAACTGCGACCGAAACTTTCATGTCCGATCACTCAGAGAGATTTCTTCTAAACTGTACAAATGAATGATCAATTTGGTAACCAGGCTCAAAAGTAACTTCAAAAAGTTGTTGACAAAACATGGGATTTCCGCACGATCGCCAAACTTCCTTGCTGAAATATTCCTGTGCATTCCTGCGTCGGACAAAACTGCTAGGCCAAGGAGAAACGCCGTATAAACATTCGAGAATTGCCGAATTTCCTTCGATAAAATTTTCATTTTTGAGGAAAGATATCAATACTTTTCCGTGATATTTTCAAGCATTTTTAGGTAAAATTGCAAACAAAATTATCTAAAAAATTGTAGGGAAAATATTCAAAAGCTTACCGGGAAATTCGTAGAGCTTCTCTGAACAGAAATTCCCACTTAGTGGGTCATTCAGCGTAGAGTACCTGTAAATCAGCGGCGCGCGACGTGCTGCCAGCACGACACGTGCGCTGGCGCCTACAAGCTTAACAGGATACTTCACGTATTGCGCAATGCGTGAAGTATCCCTGTTAGGTTTGTAGGCGCCAATGTGCGAGTCATGCTGGTTGACCGTCAGTGCCACGGCGCTTCAAGCAACTATTTCACAACAGAGGTGTTGCACAGTATCATACGAAATTGAAGGCGCTCCGACGTATCAAGAATGACAGGCGTCCTTTAAGAGTACGGAATTTTCCTCGCAAAATGAATCAAGATAATACGGTACAAAAAGAGAGCGGTAGTCCAAAAACTCACCAAGTCCTAGCATCCGTTTTTAATAGCGTTAAAAATTGAAAGAAAAATATTTACAATTGTACTTGAGAATTCGTGATTTACCAAACGAGTTTAGACAACGCCTAAAGGCTCATACGGCGTTTTTCCTCAGCACGGCAGAAAAATCCCCGGACGATTTTACAGACGCTATTTATGTCGCCAGTTTTTATGGCGGCTGGACGATTTTTATGATCTGTTAAAACTCGCTCCATCGAGTTCCTGAGTCCTGACCGCCACATGTTTGGCTATAAACGAAAGACAACAAATTTTTCCCCCAGCACCGAAAAATGCCGAATTTCAACAATATTTGGCATTTCTGGAGTGAATTTAACCACCCGTTTTGAATTATAACCGCACGACAGCCGCCATTAACTTGGCGGAAAAATAAATTGGAGATATTTAAAGTCAAAAGGAACTATTCCCATTGGGACTTGGGCATGCCGTTGCCGTTTTACGATTTGTTTTTTCCGGAATGAGCTGACCGGCTGTGAGCTTGAAAGTTGTATCTGAGATGAAAACTTTTCAAAAACCTCCTACTACTCATTGCCGTGTTGGAGGTCTTAAGTGGTTGTTTTTAAAACATCCCTTCTTGATACGACCCTTCATTTAAGCTACCAAAGTGCTACCCGGTTTTATGGCCAATTTGTTTCCCAAACATCTCTATGGGCACGAAATATTATAATTTTAAGATTGAACGTAAGAAAATAAGTTTATGCAAAGTTTATTTTGGGAGTTTAGTTTTAGTTCGGGTATGCTTGCATGTATTATATCTTTGGATCTCTGGTCGTACCCGATTATTTGATAATAAAATACCAAAAAAACTAGCAATCCTCCAAAGTTTACAGTATGTTAGTACAAAATGTGGATGTAATCGTTGAAAATCAACATATAAATAAAGAAAAAGATCTTAACATTTTTAATAATCAAATATGAGTAAAAAAAGCGGTGCATTGACACGAAGATGATTGCAATTAATACAACAGAACATCAATAAAGGATGATGAAAGTATTTTTAAAAATTTGCGGAACCATTATCGAATAGTATTCACTTCACAGTGTTCCCGGAGTTAGTATACCTAAGTGAAATAGAAACAACAAATATCGTGATATACTGCTTCAACCCCGATGAATATTCAACTCATAATATGGAAATACTTTTTTTTTTTAAGTATCACGTGATAAGATAAATAAATAATAGATGGCAATCTAATGAAACTTGGAAAATGGAACACTTAAGAGGGTAGTAGAGAATGAAAAACATGTGAAGCAAATAAGACATTGAAAAAAGGAGGAAATGTAGAACGAAAGATGAAGAATAATGATGAATCAGAAAAAAAAATCGAAAATTTAAGCATAGAAGCCACAGCAGAAGCTGCTAATTTTTGTGGACTCGTTATTAAAAAGGCTGTGAAAAAACAAACTTGATTACTGCACCTCACTGTTTTATTTTCAATACTGAAAAATTAGTTTAGAGCCGTAGCGTGCATGATTTCAATCGGTGAGATTTCATCAATTCGTAAAAAACAGTCTGCGATGGCTTGGGTATATATTCTGATACTTCAAAATTTAAACGTAAAAATGATACACAGCGCAGTGAAAAGTGACATCAAGGCACATGAATGACCAATCGCAGGCTCCGTGCATTTTACTTCAAATCAGTTCAGCTAATTTTACACATCAAAGCACGGACGGCAAAAGCCAGTATCGGTCGGTCTATCTCCCGGCAGAATTAATTGAACTAGAAAATTTCAGCCTCATCCTCATTCTCTTTATATTTGTGGGTAACGACAATTTTCCGCAGACTCGCTTTGAATACGCTTCGACTGGGCCCATAATGCACATGTTTGAAACATGTAAAGGGGACGAGAAAAAGAGGACAGAAAGGAGAGCATGTCGATTTAAAGGCTTTACATTTCGCTTAAACCTCTGAAGCGAGTCTGTAAAACAAGAGAGGCATGGATCTCAATTGCGACGTTTCAAATCACCCGCTCTTATTTTGTTTTCAATAAAATCATGTAGCAACGGCTAAAAAAAACTTACAAATGGTTTTGAAATCTTGGAAAGACAACTTTTCTATGAATAATTGTTGGAGTCCATATTTGAGAAAACGTTCTTTCATTAGATACTCTTAATCGCTTAAATTTACAAGACGGAAAACTTAGATGAATAAGTATTGAAATTTTCTCAAAAGATCGACTGATGTATGACATGGTTCAAAAAAATATGAAAAAAAAAATTAAGATAGTAGTATTCTAATAAACGTTTTTGTGATTCTCACTTAAAATGTCAGAGAAGGGTTTACTAAAACGTTATTTCATACAATTCTTCATGAGTTTTTGGAAATTTCGTCTTAACCGCCTTCATTACGACGGAAGCATAACCTTAGATTTTGACGCTTTTTCTGAGATTATTCTGGACAGGGCGACGAAAAACTTCACTTCAGCCGTTTAATGTACGTCATTCGTTAAAAACTAAATATATTTGTGTGGTGGATAATTTGTAACGCCGCAACGGATGGATTCCTTTTTTCTGAATCCACCATCTGAAAAATGATTGAGCACTACTGAGCCCCTTTTTTCATGATGATCACTTTTCACTGCGAATGTGAACGACACATGAAAAAATACAATAATTTCAAAACAACAGAATTAAGGTTCGAGCGTTCTACCTGTTGTACATAAGGATGTCTGGTTTCCAAACCCTATTTGGCGTTATCCTTAAATCTTTGACACCGCCGTAATCACTAGAGTTCCAACCTAAACTATAATCTACCCATTCCTGCAACAGAGAGAAGAACAAAATCGTTAAAGGTAGAATAACACAAATAATTCTCAAGATCGACACCATGAAAATGATGCCTATATAAGCGTAGCTAGAAAAATCCGAAATTCCATTGAGAATTGAATCAGAGAGAACGAAAACACAGCAACTTGAGAAAATGAGAATAATCAAGACACACGCAAAACTGCACAGTAGGTGTAAAATTTAGTCTAAGAAAAAAAGATTTTTGGTTTCAAAAGACAAGTACTTAGGGACAGTTCAAAGGTCTGAGTTTGAACAGATGCTCTAACTTAAATGGCCTTTGTTGAAATTGATTGTCTTTAATGAAAACTGAGCATTTTCGCGTTACCGAGTTGGTGTGTTTTAGCTCTCACTGATTCAATTACGGTGAACGACGTATCATATTGGGTTGACATTGATATTTAATTTTAAACCATTGCATTTTATTAATATTTAAATTTATGAATTTTGTTTTATTAAATTGAAGTTCTTACTGTTCTCGTGTCCTAAATTGAAAGGAGCAGGTCGAGATATTTTCAACACCTATAAATTTTAATTTTTTGCCGGATGATAATTGAATCTACTCCAGTTCGACGGGCGTTAGTCCAAAAAATCATGATCACTGGCTTTTATTGACCACATGAGAAGCTAGGGCTCATTATTTTTTGAAGTTGCCCCGATTTTACTTAATGCTACTTGCAATTGCTACTAATTTTAATTTTCCATGTTTTCCCCCATTCATCGAAATAACAGAATTGAGAGGATGAAAACGGTTATTACAATTTTTCTCGAATCCTCATTATTGGCGCTTGAGCCCTTTTGCAAGTGACCGATTCAGATGTACATGATTCGTTGCGAAATACATACCAAGTATGAACATAATGATTAATCCACAAACAAATGGACAGCAAACAGGGTCGGCGAACTTTTGAAATACAAAAACCCGTTGGCGACCGGCTGAAATACCGTGCCGAGTTCATTACGACACCATGGGTTACAGGAGAAAGCCACAAAAGAGAGGACAGAGAAAATCTTACACAAAGAACATTCTCTTGGAGCTGTGCGAATTTTAAAGGTCGGAAATTCAACCAACCTGATACGCGCGCAAAAACAGTTGAGCTTAGAGTTGGCCTCGGGCGATAAATCAACTCATTCGCCCACGCTTTTATCGCCGAGTTTTCATTTTTGGTACACACAGAGCGAGGTTAGTGCATTCCTTTCTTTTTTAATTTTTTGACCCCGGGTTGACAGCCTTGGGGTCGCATTCATTGTCCTGCGTTAAACAGCTCCTTCCCGTAGGACAATTCGTATAGTATACATTGTGCCCAAGAGAAGTTTAGGGAAACTCTTGACTATAGCATCATAAATACAATGTTTTCGAACTTTGAGTAAAATTTAGTATCATAACTCTGAGAATAGATCCTTAAAAGGGATCACGATAATTTCCCGCTGGATAAAAAGAGGAAAAAAACCGATGAGAATATAATGCGAGTTTTGTGAATTGTATGGTTGGCTTGCACCCATTTCAAAGTTTGTCAAAATCACTGATTTTTTGCAGCGACAAAACATTTTAATCCTTCACAAAAATCCATTTTTATAGAATTGAATTTTGCTCGAGATTGGAAAAAATTGTCCCTATTATGATGCTACTTTGAAGGCTCTCTTAAACTATCCTTAGTCAAAATGTAAATATATATAATATGGAATGGAGCCTCCTTAGTATAGGATCCGTTTGAATACGGCGGGACCCTTGGGCTATATAACAATGGTGAAGACCATGCGGTGATAGCGCGGATTGCTCCGAGCAACTATTCTAACTCTCCGGAATTCGGGTTGCATTGCAGGCTAATTGAAGGCGTTTAGAGAGAGACCCACTTGCACGCCGTGCGCTTTCAGATCCGTGCTTCTATCATTCCGTTTCCCTTTGTCGCTGACGGGTATTGGTGTAGAGTTCTTGTGATATTCCGTGTCTCATTGCTCTAGATAGTGATGCTTTCCGAGGGAAAAACTCAGTGCGAGCATTGAACATAAGCATGAGAAGTTAGCAAAAATAATCGGTTTCATGATGTTACGTCAAGGACCTCATTGAACTCCCCGTCGTATTAAAAGTCGTTCTTTTAACAGCTCCTTTCCCGGGAAGATCCATGTATTTATATTGTGATTCAGGGGTGTGTTATGAGATTCATCACATGGCATTATAAAAATGAAACATTTTTGCAAATTTGAGTAAAATTAAGCTGTGTGACTCTGGAAATGGATATCTTTGCGAGGAATTACAATATTCTCCGTTGCAAACATTACAAAATATCAAAGAAAGAATTCTTTGATTTTGACAAACTTTACGGTAGGTAAGTGCGAACATACCTTGAAAGTCACGAAACTTGCAATATATTATCTCTTATATTTTGTACTTTTTGCAACGACGAATGATTGTATACCCTCAGAAGGATCCATTTCCCAACTTTTACGGCTAAATTTTACCTCAAGTTTGCAAAAATTGTTCTTTTTATGTGATGTGATGAACATCCCCCAGCCAGCTATATATCCACAACAAGATATTGTGAAGGTCACCAGATGCCGCGTTACACATGCTTCTGAACATTTTCAGACGACTTAATTGTCAGTGAATCTTATAGTCATAATCGTTCCTATTAGCAATTCCGTGGTTTCTGGAAATCGATAGAGCTATTAATAAACCAGTTAAAATAATCTTCGACGTTGAAATAGAGTTCTTTTGCTCTTACTACAACTATTTTTACTGTCCACTAAATCATCAGGACTGAGTCAAAATGGATGCAGCTATCTAATTACATTTAATTTCGGTAGATCAGCATCACGATACAGTGAGAAAATATTGTCAATTTTGCCACCCATGAGTTTCTTCATCGGCGATGAGCTCTCTATCAGCATTTACCATGATACAGTAACATTTTTAACATGTCACCTGAGGTCTGCTTACTATCACACCAAACGACATCTCCACACACACAAAGAAAAAATAATAAGTCAATTTTACATTCTGGGTGTAAAAAAAAAAGTGTGCGAGAACTCACACAACGTTGAATTAATAGCCACAGCATTTACTTGAGCTATGTCAAGATGTAAAACTAACATACGTGGCGGGTAGTTCAGCATTTTGTGAGTTCTCGCACACTTTTTTTACACCTAGAATGTTAAATCAACTTCACTTTTTTTTGGTGCATGTCAAAAATCAAGAAGTTTTAAATCTTTTTAGTCGACCGTCTGTATACTCAGACTTTTGTGGGTGCAATATGTTTCCTTCTCAACAACTTCGTCAGGGTGAATTTTTTTTTCAAGTTTACTGTGTGTCCGGTGAGTTTGAACCTCGAGTTGCGGGGTCAAACGTCGAAAAATGTCATTTTCCTAGGAAAAAAAAACTACGCGCGGTTCGGTCGGCCTCAGGGGATCGGTTCCCCCAACAACTGCGCTCCCCGAATGCATTCTTCCCGAACGTATCACAGCGAACTGCACTCTCCATTCTCTGGGATATACATATTGTTGGACCTTGTTATTTTTGCCCGGGCCGAGAAAACAACGCTCGGAGTATGATGTCCGGGCAGCTGCCCCGTTCCCGGCACCAACGAATAAAAATTTAACGTCGCGCCGAGATTCGCAGCGCCGCGTCGCAATCGGCGACCGCCGTTAAAACTTAAACAGCCCTCCGCAAAAACCCTGAAAAAACACAGAGCGAACAATCGCAGAGGTCTGCTCAGGAGCTTTGGCGACAATACTCGGCGCTGCGCCGACAACACTCAACGACTGAGGAATTTCAAAGCGACCATTGTGAGCAGAGAAAACACTGGAGCTTAAAGAACTAATTCCGTTAAGGATACAGTATACGGGTTATCAAGAAACCCTTTATTTTAATCTCGCGCTTCCCGGCGGCAATATGTTGCCGTTGCTATTCTTTTACCCTAGTCTGACCGACTCGGTCCTCGAAACTAGAGGCTTGCCGTAATTGGATGGAATGGGCCTCTGGACAATGCTATGAATTAAAGCACAACGCTACGTACTTCCTCCTCCAAATTTAACGAGGAAAGAATCACACAAAGGGAAGTCTGAAAATCAAGTCCTGAATGAGATATAATGGACCACCAGACAAGGTTCGAATTTAAGAATGCTGATACATGTTTCTTAACTGGAATTTAACGTAGAACACGCTTTTTGCGTCAAAAATTACTGATATTATTTTCTGGCTAAGATATGAACGTTCATATTTTACATTGGTCACGGGACATTTGAATTGCCCGGTCACAAGAAACACAATACTCAACGTAAGTCAAATCGCGCACTACGACGGTTTTGGCAGGCTTCTCAGTCAGACATTGTTCATTTCCCACCCTTTATTGGCCAAGGTGTTAACAATTTGCTACAGCTGAGCCAGAGCGTCAAGATTGAGATTGCCATATTTTCGTATCGCAGCGACTGCCACGGTAACGTAAAGTTTGCGATCTAACTCACGTGGACCACTGAGTTTTCAAGAGCGGGAGGTTTGAATTCACGCGTAAAGAAACATTAAATATCTTGGTTCGGAGTCATTTTCAATAATTTTCGTTGCGCAAATCGTGTTCTACGTTAATTTTTTTCAAGAAAACATGTATCAGAATACTTGTTTAGTGGCCCATTGTTTTCTATCAACATTGGTCAAATGCCAAGCATATAAATGACGTCATTGTTACAAGCAAACTAATATTTGATCTGTGTTTCAAGGACTTGTTAATATCTCGTCCAAGAGTTTATTTCAAAACTTTCCGTTGAATGTATTGATTTCTGTGTAAGGTATCCAGGAGAAAGCTTGTGACGTTTTCTTCTGCTTCAAATTTTGTCTAGTGGCTAATTTAACAGTAAAGTTCTACCTAAATGCAGAGGACATACGGGCGTATTTCTGCCAAACGGAACTATGTACATTGTGATTTGAGCCTTGTTATGCATATATTTTTATGGGTCTCAGGGCTCATGTCTTAATGCACATACTT